CGCGGTTGACCAAAATGAAATTATTCATTATGCCAAAAGTAATCAAATCATTTGCCAAGTTTCATTTGATTGTCCCCAGTGGAAAATCATTGAATCACGAGTGAAATGGACACAAAAATGGTTTAACATGGATGGAGTTTCACTCATCGTCAATCTATTTAAAAATCCGATATTAAAATCGTTGAAAAACAATCGAAATGTTTGTATGTCACATAAAGGTCTTGATACAATGTATTACACAGATATGAATGGAAAGAAGCATCCGGATCCTTACGTCGGTGTGACAACGATTTATTGTTTGAATGAAGATGGAACGAGAATATTCTTTGCAGATCCCTGGCTACAAAACAAATTTCACAATGAGTTAACAACCCCAGAAGATGGACAATTCATTGCCGAGTCGATGGCAACAAGTGGCTCGACTTTATTTCTTCTACAACGAGCAAAAAATGAATTCGGACAAGAAATTAATAAAATGTACACACGATTTGCTGATTTTGATTCAATTGGATCAAATCCAGCATTGACGTCGACTTATAATCGAACGAATTACGTTCCACTTGTTCGTTTTCTTCCACCCGAAGATTGGATTCAACAACCAGCGATAAATCTTCAAGGAAACGCTCGTTTGACGAAAAATATCTCTGTCTTTCAAATCGGATGGGGACAAAATAATCGACAACTACGAGTGCAAGGAACAGATTCCGATGGCAATGTTGGATTCTATTCTAAGAATATTTACGAAAACCAATGGAAGTTTCAATTGACCAATAACATCGAAATATCTGAAGAGGAATTCTTATCGGAATCAATTCCGTATATTGGATTTGCAAAAGGTCCACAGATATGTTTTGATTATACAAATGGCGAATTCCGTTCGAATTTGAAAGAGATCCACTTTGAAAATATCATTTTGGAGAAGTTTTCACATCGTGGACTTAATGAACGAGGCTTGCATACGAAACTGATTTTAGTATTAAGCTCAACTCTTCCGATGTCAATTCCATTATACGCACGACGAGGTTGGAAAAGTTTATTAGGTTTATCGAAATCAAACATTTGGAAATTGGTCATTCCGTTCGAATATTTTCAAAGTGACGATCGTGAAATTCAATTGGTCTTAGAAAAAATTTTCGCAAACCGATTTCGACATAATGTTCATGTGTATGAATCGAAACAACAAATTGTAATCACAAATACTTTTCTTGGCAAATCGAAATTCAAATTTGTTTTTAAAATAAAATCCGATTAACTAACGATAGTTAAACACAATATTTGCTTTTTTCGCAAGACAAGACGATTTTCATGTCTCAGTTCTTGTTTCGAAGAACTTTGTCATTTGAATCAAGACGGCTCGTCAAATTTAGGATGAAGAGAAAAAGAAAATGTTACAAAGCTATCGAAATCAAGGAATCAACACTGTAGTTTGTTTGTTAACTGGTCATGATCAAGAAATTCTTCTCCATGGACAAAAATCTCTCATCGACGCATCGAAAAAAGTGAGTGTAAAACGATTTACCACATCTGACTATGAAACTGATTTGTTGAATATCAAGTGCGTTTGATTTTCTTCTTTGAAAAGCTTTGTTTGTGTTTTTTTTAGAGAAAATGAATGTGATTATTATGAACCAAATAGCAAATTCAAAATCTTTTAGAAAATGATTCATCCATCGAATATACATTCATTGCAACTGAACTTTTTGCATGTTTCGTATATCGTTTATTTTGTTATGGAAGATAAAGTCTCATTCAGATTTTCTTTTTCCCTCTTATTTTAGAATTGATTTGAAACAGGAAATAATCAAATCATTTGTTCCTCGAAACAAGAAATTTCCACGACATATCCCGATGATGTTGCAAGGTTTCTACCTAATCTAATTTTGCTCAATGAAACAAAGAACGCACGAATCGATTTAGCAAGTTTTATAGCAAGATTTACAGAAATTCATCAGGTTGCTCAAAAAGTCACTGGACAATTAATGTCAAATCATTTCAAAACTGGCGTTTTCATCAATGAATCTCTAACTAAAACAACAATTCTAAGGTCAAGTCTCTGAATTTGTCGAATCTGTTTATGCAAGGAGTAATTTCACCTTTCCTTCACACTGTACGTTGTGCAGGAGTTGAATATTTCGATCAGTCATTTAACAAAATCTATTCAAAACTTTCATAAATTCCAACAACAACCAGCGAAGATGTCATTACAATGAAATTGACGATCAATCGTTAACGGCGTTGATTTATTCATCCACATTGATCAATGTATTGATTCGCTAAGTAAAGTTGAAGGAGACGAAGTGTGGACACAAAAAATGGTTCGAAGTGAATGTCATCTTCTCCAGCCTTGATCTCATTTATCAGGCATTACACCAAGTGAATAGTCAATATGAACAAAATCTCATTTTCTTGAGTATTAACACAGTTGATGACGAAGAATCTTTCATTTTTACTCAATTTTTCGATCAATTAGATGTATCACTGACGAATATTTATAGTTTTGAAGACACTTCAGTTGCAGCTAATAAATGCGACGGTCATATCTAACTCCAAATTTTCCTATGCAGTCTGTCACATATCCACTTCAACACGCACATCCAGATCGCTCTTTTCAATGCCGAGCTTGATCGAAAATAAAAAGAAACCGCACCGATACTTCATTTCCCGCGCCAGCTTTATATATAACTGCGATATGTACAATCACGGATGAAAACAAACGCTAATCATCAACGATCACGCATTGACATGGTAGGCTAAGTATAAAAATGTGATGAGATTATAGAATCAAAGTCTCACTGTACCTGCGTTTGATAAGGGACATCGAAATACGATCTGGAACTTGATGTGTTCTGTGTACGAGAAGGAAGGGGAACATGACGTGTTCTTTTAGAGCATTTTGAATTGTGACGTGTACAGGTCAAACTCGTGGGTTACGGCAGATGTGAAGCACGCATTTTCTGGTAATGCAAGCGTATGTAAAAGTTTAATACTGCTCCCACTAAATCTACGGAATTGAAGAAGTTTCGAGGGTCAGTGTGATCAGCCGTACACAAGTTATCTGTAAAAAAATCCTTTCACCACATATGTTCCTATTTTATTTGAAAAGTATATCACGTATGTGAATTGAAACATACAGTTTCATCAAACACCGATTAATTGAACAATTTTATTACTAAAAGAGTATAAAAGTATTTTCTTGAAAGTGGACTCATACATTGAACAGATAAAATGCTAACCATGACATGAAAAGCCGCTTCTTTCTGTGCCATTTTATTTCCTCGATCCACAAACCTAATAGTAGACTCCATAATATCCATTCATTTGGCTAAAAACGGAATCCGAAATGATTCCATCATCAGGAACCTATCGGATCTGAAGTCAGGTGAGTTGGCATAGTCGATGGTCGTCTCTTCCATGGATCTTATATAGTGAATCGTAGCGAACAAAACGCGAATCTCACATTGGGAGATCCTGCATAAAATCACCTTCTTCCTTTACTTTGCGATATAGAACAGGGTAAAAAGTGTCGAAGTTATTCTTTAACTATACACTAGTTTTAAAGATATTCTTGTATTTTGATATGCTTTTCTAACCCGTCAATTTCTTAAAGAGCAACATTAAAACAATTGTATGCATTTACATTACCGAAAAATTCGCGTTTGCTATCGGCACTTTCACACAAGAGAATCTAACTGTTACACATATATGTACTACTTCGTAATCTACAAATTTGACCTGTACGTGTCATAATTCAAAATATTCGACAAGAATATTTTCTTTCCTTCTTCCTTTTTTTGCACCAGTACGGATATCAATGATTGACCCATTCGTTACCCGAGTGTTATTTTGTTCTCCGCCTCCTCAGATCGTACGAAATTCTAGATCATATTTTCCATATCTCTTATCAAGCGTACGTATGGCGAAACTTTAATTCCAAAATCTCATATGTTTTGGACTTAACCCATCGTGCCACGACGCGTGATCGTTGTTAATCAAAGTTTGTTTTCGTGTCTGATTGTATGCTAACCAGAAGCCGTATCGAACTTTCTATTCTCTTCTTTTTCAGATAGTGTACCATGTTCAATACATAATTCTCCAACCGTTACACTTCCAAACACAGCCAAAAATAACACGTACATCTTTTCCTTTGTTCAATAAAAAATTGATTCTGTTTGTTTTAGACCAACCTGGATTGATATTGATCTTGATCTTGTTCGAGTTAATGTTCAAACTCTGAAGAAGTACGTCGGTGATCCAGTTCATCTAATAGCAATTGTAAACGCCAATGCATATGGATACGGCATCATGGTATATCGTTGGAATGGACACAAGAAGCTGATCGTAGTGTTGAATAGCCTATTAATTTTCATTTGAAAATTGATATCGGCATGAACTGACTTAGTTGTAGAACCGAAGATGAAGTGAAAAAGATAATAGAAATCGTCTCTCGAAATCCGAAGTTACGTTTTACCGGTGCTTTTAGCCATTTTGCCACATCAGATGATCTTAATAACCGAACTTAATTCTTCGAACAACTATATCGATTCAAATAGTTCCTTGAAATTATTCCAAATCGTACCGAAAAACTAATTCACTGTTCAAATTCAGGTGCCACACTTTTCCAACCTGAAAAACCTTTCTACAACATGGTACGCTGTGGTAACGCATTGACAAGTCCACCCAATGAACTCTTGAATGATTTCTTATTGATAAAGCTCCAATCTGTTATTTCTCTTCGTTCTGTTCTAAGTTTCGTTAAAAAGGTCGAAGCTGGCGAAAAGATAGACTATGGAGATGCATATACGACAACAAAGAAACAATGGATTAGTACCATTCCTATGGGATTTGGTGATGGATGGCATCAAAATTTGAAACCGACAGGTGTTTTTGTCGAAGGACAACGAATGGAAATTGGCGGACGAATTCCAATGGTTCAAATGATGATTGCTCTTGATCTTGAGTATCCTGTCGGAACTCGTGTTACTTTTATTGGTCAGCAAGGAAATGTGACAATATCAGGAGATGAAATTACCGGTATTGCAAAAATGCCTCGATCGGGAATTTTCAGCGTAATATTAAATCGTGTGCCACTTGTGTATAGAGAAAGTAGCACAATTACCTCTTTCGGTCATCGAAACTTTTTACAATGCTGATTTAGAAATTCCACTGGGAGAATTATTGGACTAACTTTGAATTTAAGGTAAAAATTTCACCGCATTATACGACAGTGGCAAATCAAATCGACGGGTAAACTAAGTGACCCTCGATCACGTTTCTTGGCATACTAATAAGAAAACGCGTATATTTAATATGTTGAGCTCCATAAAAAATCTATATTTCCTTATGAAATTTATGCCGGTGTAGAAAATGGATAAACTTTTCTTCGAATGGAGCATTGATGTTGACTACTCTGAGTGAGTACATGATGTCTTCAGTAGAAAACAAGAGTCAACGAGAATCTATCTGGCACACAGTTATACATGACTATGAAGTGCAATCAGTAGATAGTAGATATAATGCTAAATCATTGTTTCAGATATGGTATGTCTGGATTTTGAATTTACTGTTTGGACATTTATTAATTCAGTCGATTGCTAAGCGAGTCTGTCTCGATCTCGACCAGCGTTGTGTATTCCGACAAATCAGTTATTTATACTTTACGTAATGGAGACTTCAACACTTCAAAAGCGTTCGTGTGAAAAATTTTCAGAGATACTCTTTTACGAAATATCGATGAATACTTTCTGGAAAGTCCCTTCCATATTTTACACATTTTTTCAAAGGTCCTTCGTATAAATCTATTATATGTAATATCAATAATTTCCCCAATGATGCTAAAATGAACCTCTTTAATACTTTAATGCCGAAATAATGAAGAAAATTAATTAGCGCTTGAAGAATATTCTTCGTCGCAAGTTTCAGTGGAAAAAAGGCACATTTATTTTTTAAGTAAATGACTAAAAAAGTAAGATGCATTATCTTTATTGACTAAATAGGCAGAAAAGAGCTATATGAAGCACATAAAACAAAGTCCAACAATGACATTGAACTCAACAATCGCGTATCTTCGTGATGTCACTGATGAAGTTCGTTTTATCTTTGGTCTATTCAACTTAGTTGTCGGTCTCATTAGTAATTTATCTTTGATCATCATTTTAACAAATCTTAAAATCTTTCGTAAAACTCCTTCGAGTTTTTATCTAGTCGCTGAATCCTACTCAAACATTGGATTATTGACCTTCGCTTGTTCATCACGTATTTCAATCGGAATTCTCAGAGTTGATCCAACACTTGTATCACTACAATGGTGCAAGTTTCATTCTGGTTTCAATCAAGTATTTGGTTTGTGTTCATTGTTCATAATATGTTTCACAACAATCGATCAGTATTTCTCCACCAATCATCGTTATGCCATTCGCCAACTGAGCACTATGAAATGTGCATATTTATTTCTCATCATAGCCCTACTCCTTTCGTCATCTCATGGAATTTTGTTCTATATCTATGCTTTGATTGATCAATCCTCATTTGGCTGTTCAATCTATAATGTAATCATGAGGAAGTATTTGTCTTATTTCTACTTTCCCGTGTTGAGTAATGCGTTGCCAATTCTCATCACAATGACATTTAGTTTGTTGTCTTATCGAAATGTTCGTCGAATAGTTCGAAGACAAATTCCGATTCGACGACGACGATTAGATCAACAATTGACATCCATGATCCTGATTCGAGTTGTATCATTGATTTTCTTTGGTTTGCCTTATATCATCACTTCGTTATATCAATTGAATGTTCCCAGTGGTAGCAATGACCTCAATTCAACAATTATGATTCTCATTGCTGCAATCTTATATTCTTTGGTATATACAAACTTTTCAGTAATGCTTAAGTAGTTTGATTTTCCAAATGACTTGTTTGCCTTTGTGTTTTAGATCAACTTTTATTTATTTTTAATAATTTCATCCCGATTTCGCGGCCAGGTTAAATATTTTATTCGAAAAATGTCTCGTAGTATCTTCAATTTGATACATTTACCAAGACACGTCAGATTAAATACTAACAATCAAATCATGCCGGAAATTCCTGCACTAAATGTTTCAGTTTTAGAATCGGCTTGATGAACTCGTAAGAAGTATTCAATAAAAAAACATTCGCTTATATCTCGAAAATTTCAAAGACACTGCGTTTATTAAATAATTGAAGGGACAGCGAATAATATGATGAGGATCTTCGCTCTTTTAGCTTGTCATGTGATGTAGTACAAAGGCATTCAGGGTGTGGAAGTTATTCAAGATAATATCAAAATCTCGAAGAGAAAGTTAATTTTGGAAATATTTCAGCTTAGAAAGATTGACTTGATGAATGAAATAATCGTATATTAGTATCCATAGAGAATATAGATGTAGATGGGCGGAGGAGGCGTTCATTTACCGTTATGTAGATTTACACTTAAACACACCGTATTGGTTGTTATTATCGAGATGGTGAGGTCAGGATAAGATCTAATGGGGTAGTCACCGCCTGTCCATGTTGCTATAGCCCAATACTCTCATACTAAGTTCATTAATTTAGAATTTTGCATGATAATGAACAATCAAAGTAACTTTCAGTTATATCGATTAGCTATATCTGATACAGAGTTGCAAGTTTTCTGTAGAAAACGAAATATCACACAAAAAGAAATCATTCGCATGTGATTTCGTACGAAAATATTATACCAAATACAAACTATGACATGGCAAACTCTTTTTTAAGTTTTATGGAAATTTTTATGATCGCAGATACTGATCGAACATGAAAAGAATCTAGTAGATACAATCCTTCCTATATTAATTCCAGTGCAGGATAAAATAGCGATCCGTATTATCAGGTGTGCCAAATTACCGTGATTCCTAAGTCACAAAGTTATCCTGCACACATAGATTAGCGCTCGTATGATAGCAATGTCATATGAACGCTAACGGTCGCATCAGAATATCTATTAAAATGCATCGTATTTAAGATATAAGAGTTTGAACATATAAACACATCGACTTTCTTTGCACATGTCAACTATGAAAAGTAGAGGGTATTTCGTTTTCACAAGTTTGTATCTTTATATTCGCACTTCGAATTCTTAGTGGTTTTATGCTAATCTTTGGGAGACAGATACCGCAGCCTTTCTCTTATACATTCCAAATTTCTCCTCTGTCCTAAAAGCTGAGGGTGGCTTAATGGTAATAACTGTCTAGCGATTTTTATACTACGTTCACAAAATAAATGAGCTCTTGAGTAATCGCCTATATTATAATAGACCGAGCTGATGTTGCTGTAGGATAATGCCAGATCGGGATGATCTGCAGGAAGTGATTGCTGTCGAATCGCAAACGCTTTCTCATGGTATTTGAGTGCTCGTGGATAATAAGTCATGTCATCATATACGGTACCGATATTGTTGTAGGTAGNTTTTTATACTACGTTCAAAAAATAAATGAGCTCTTGAGTAATCGCCTATATTATAATAGACCGAGCTGATGTTGCTGTAGGATAATGCCAGATCGGGATGATCTGCAGGAAGTGATTGCTGTCGAATCGCAAGGGCTTTCTCATGGTATTCGAGTGCTCGTGGATAATGAGTCATGTCATCATATACGATACCGATATTGTTGTAGGTAGTAGCTAAATTAGGATGGCATTCAGGAAGTGATTTTTGTTCGATTGAAAGAGTTTTTCCATAGTATTTGAGCGCTTGTGAATAATCATTCATATCCTTATATGTCGAACCGATGTTACTGTAGGATATAGCTAAACTAGGATGATCTGAAGGAAGTGATTGTTGTTGAATTCGAATAGCTTTTTCATAGTATTCTAGAGCTTCCTGGTAACTACCTGTTTTAGTATACACCGTACCGATATATCTGTATGACAATGCCAGATCAGGATGATTTGTTGGAGATGATTTTTGACGAATTGAAAGAGCTTCTTGATGGCATTTGAGCGCCTTCAGATAGTCACACATATGTTCATGAATCGATCCAATTTTATCGTAAACTACAGCTAAACTAGGATGATCTACAGGAAGTGATTTTTGCCATATCGAACGAGCCTTCTCAATGCATACGAGTGCTCTTGGATAGTCACCCATATTGCGATATATTATGCCGATGTTGTTGTGTGTTGAAGCCAAACTAGGATCATTTGCAGCAACTAATTGCTGCCGAATTGACAGTGCTTTCTCGCAGTATTCGAGAGCTTTCCGATAGTCGCCAACATGCCCATACATACCACCGATATTATTGTAGAATACAAGTAATTTAGGATGATTTGAAGGGAGTGATTGTTGTGCAATTGAAAGAGCATTCCCATAATATTCGAGGGCTTTCCAATAGTCACCCATTTGTGAATATACAGTACTGATGTTGCTGTAGGATGATGCCAGATCAGGATGGTTAGTAGGAAGCGATCGTCGTTGGATTAAAAGAGCTTTCTCATAGTATTTGAGTGCTTTTGAGTAATTACCCATTTTTTCGTAAACTGAACCAATGTTATTGTAGGATGGTGCCAAATGAATATGATCTATAGAAAGTGATTGCAATTTAATTGAAAGAGCTCTCTCGAGGTACTCGAGCGCATTTGAATAGTCACCCATATTGCAATACACCGTACCGATGTTATTGTACGGTGTGGATAAGCAAGGGTGATTCGCAGGAAATAATTTTTCACACAGAACGAGTGCTTTCTCATACAGTCGTTTTGCTTCTGAGAGTGCAGCCTTATTGTACAGAATATTACCAAGCTGGATATAAACTATTGCCTTGTGAATATCGTCTGAAATGTCGTTTAGTAACTTAACATTTTGCAAATTTCATCAGCCTTTTCATTTTGATCCAATTTAATTAGTAGATCGCCTAATCTCAGCCAATCCTTCTTATCGAAGCAGGTCTCTTCTCGAATATGATCCGTAAGTGTAATCAGGTCTTTGTCAGAATCATTGGTTAGTGACAGATTCACCTCGTAAAGAGATTGACCGATACCAATCGATTTGCTATCATGGATGCGAAATACAGAGTGCATTGAAAACAGCACTTCAGCTTCGTTGGAAAATTGACTGTCACTAGAAATAAAAGCAAACGGTGTTGTTGACTGACTTGGATCGACCTCTATATTGAACAGAACTCCTAATAAATCAGAACTATCTGCACTACTCTCTGCATATGACAAACAGACATCGCGTTTTGTGCTGGTGGACAAGAAGTTATTGAACGACATTAGTCCGCCTTCTGACTTTTTTAGTTCTTCAAAATCTGCTTGTGATAAGCCCTGGCCACGAAAAACGGTGAAGATGATAGAACAAGGTCTATCAATAAACTGTTCTTTGTGCAGCTGCTTGATGTTTCTATGAAGATCAACAATAAAGAATCCCATTCGTACAAGAATATCGCCGTTCATTGTTCGGAGTGCACAATTGAGCATAGAATGTAGTGCAGTACCTCGTGTGTACCACCAAATCGGTTTCTTTCCATGGTAGTCACGTACAAGTCGTTCAACGTTATTGGATTGTTTTCCATCGATAGTCAATAATCCAGGATGATACTTAATAAATTCTAGTATATGTTGGTCTTCGAAATCGATGAACAAAAATATCTCTTTGAAGAGCTGTGTGTACATAAACGACGGCTCGAGCTGGTCCAGCCCTCTTTCAGGCACAATAAAACTAATTGGCATGGTGATCTGTTCATATCGATGAAGCATACCTTCGACAGATTTGCAAAGTGATACTATGTCAATGAACACACCTTTGATCTTCATCCAGTCCTTTGCCCATTGTTCATGATATAACTTGTTTTCACAAAAGATGAAAAGACAATCTAATTGAGGAATATCATGAATACAAGGTACAAGATAATGTCCAATTGATCCAGAAGTGATTAGATAGACTTTATGACAATTGTTATTCAGCACAAGTTCGATACACTCGTCATTATCTGCGAATATGTGACTATTGTTGACAATAGATTGAATTTGCTTAGTTAGCAAGCGATAAGTGCTGAGGTTGGTATTCATATAATTGTCAAGCCAGATAAGGGTGGTATTTTGCATTTTTCGATGTTGACTGATCGACCACTATCTATTTGTGTTTGAAAGTGATGATTATTCTACTACCTAATATTGATTCTGGTTGGTGTACTGTATAATTATAGATCGAATTCTTTTACATTGTGATTATTCACGAAACCAAAAGAATAATTTTGTCAACATTTTTCACGTTCTTATACTTGAATGCATAGTATAGTCGAAGAACGACAAAAACATCATTGTCGAAATTATGTTTATAGCCATGTACAGCTTTAACGATGTTTGAAAGAATTGCCGTTTTCTCTTGGAAATAGAAAGAAAAAAAATGTTTGAAAAAGAAGACATTATTCTTCCGAAGAAAAGTGTCACTTAACTCAAATAAATAAACGCTTCTGCTCGTTCGTTGCTATCAAATATAAAATTCAATCATACGTTTGTTGCAATATGTAAATCCGTCGATTTGACACATGCGATATTTTTTAGTAGAATTCAATTCTTTCTCAGACCGTCTCTATACTATTCATTCATCTAATCGTACAAAAGATTTAACCTTAGATTCAATAGAACACGGTCCTTTTTAATCTCATATTATTTTGAGTTCGAACCAGATACGTAGAAATCTTTGGTTATCTTTTGTTTATTCTTCATTTCGATAATTGTGAACTTGATAGATGTGCTGCGATGGCCGAGTGGTTAAGGCGTCTGACTAGAATCATGAAAATGACTGTTAGTGATCAGATGGGTTCTCCCGCGTAGGTTCGAATCCTACTCGCAGCGTTTCTCTTTTTTTTCCAAAAACTTCAGCTTCTGTTTATCGAAACTATTTTTACGATTTCATCATCACGAAATGAATTTTAAGGTATATCAATGTGATCAGGAAATGTGCAAATAAACGACGAGAAAAGAAAGTAAAAGCTTCATATGTCTAATCTTCAATCAATGATACATTTTATTCTTTTGATCCACAGAAAGAATTATGATCAAAGAACATAAACGCAAAAATACAACATATTTGTTTGTCATTCATAAAACCAATTGACAAACGACGACGAGACAGAAAAAAATTTCGCCCTGCCAAACTCTGACAATCTCAGATGGAACTACGTCTTCACTATTTTTTTCTTCTGGGAAATCGCATCATGCTGATAGAAAACATGCATTTATATATTAGCTCATCAACCAGAAAGAGAGCACCATGTTTAAAAGAAAATACGAAATGCTACGCTAAAGATTTTCGTTCAGTTATTTTCTAGCAGATTCAAACTTACCGAGTTTTTCATGCTACATTTTGTGGTGTATTTTCTATTTAAGATGACGAGAAAATACAAAGCAAACAACGCATAAATGATAACGCGTATTATTGTTGGGCAGCTGAAGGTGCTCAAGAGAAGTTTTATGGATATTTTCCTTGCACGAAACTATAATAGAATGTTGATGCGATCGTATGAGAGGATCGAACAAAGGACGGTTTATCGATTGATCAAAATCGATACTTTTGTAAAGCTTTGCTGGAGAAAATAAAGTAAATTCCTCACTACTCTTCACTCGTCGTAGGTAAATGCGAATCAAGTTATGTATGAACATTGATCATCTCTTATTTTGATTTTCCTTTCATTCTGTAGGATTTCAAATGAACAGTCAATTTTTGTGGTTCGAATCGTCGATAAAAATTAAGGAATTTTGATATAGTTACCCTGTCATAGTAAACATAGAATAATAAGCGGCAGAAAGATAATTATTATCAAGTACGACGAAGATTCAAAACAAAATTAAATGTCTTGGCTGTTGATAATTAAAAATATTTGTCTTACTGATATTCAATTGCTGGTAGAACGCGCAATTTTGATGATTGTACATGCACAAAAATGATGGTATTTAACACATTATTAATCAACATAGGCGATCACGCATTTAGAATACGTGTGTTTATTCGCATCCATAACGGTCATAAACATCGGTAGGAATACAAAATAAAAGTAGAGCATTGTTCGTGAAAGTAAGACAGCTGAGAATGTTTTTATTAGATTGATATATCTACATCAAAATGATTCTAGCTCCCAGCACTTCAAAGATATCTTTTAGTGATGAGATCGTACAGATTAACGTATAGAAATGCTCACAAATGGCAGGACAAGATATCCTTATGTTCTTCAAGCGTTCCATTGTTGCCTTGAAGCTACTGCACGGCTGTCATCAACAATAGTTCTGTAATTGATACTATTCAAGTACATTTTTTCCTATCACAAAATAATAATTGATCATTGAGTACGTAACTTATCCATTGGAGGTAATTTCCAACTTTTGTCTGAATGTATCATAAGTTTCTTTTGTTTTTAAGTATAACTACATTAACTCATTAAGGTTCGAGTTATGTGGTGTACTTCATGAAGCTATTCAGAACACTCAAAAAGTACTATCATTGTCTAAAAGTTATTCGGAAAGAAAATATTTGATGCATATTCTAAGGTGTGTTTTAAAGTCTTTGGATAATCAGTTTGAAGAGTGCTATAATCGATTCTTGAGATGCAGTTTAAAAGAATGTCTGAAGTATTTTTAGACTTGCATAAAAATGGTCAAAAAATCTAATTAGCATTCAAAACGGATTTTCTTGATACGTTCTAAATTGTAAAAAGATAATGGTGATTAGTTTTCACTTGAAGAGAAAAAAGTGAAATATGGTAATTTTATCGTGTGAATAAGTGATAAAGGTCGCTTTGCAACACGTCGACAAATAGACAGAGAATGTCATTGAATTCCACAATCGCATATCTTCGTGATATCACAGATGAAGTTCGTTTTATCTTTGGTTTATTTAACTTAGTTGTCGGTCTTATTAGTAATTTATCTCTAATCATCATTTTAACAAATCTTAAAATCTTTCACAAAACTCCCTCAAGTTTTTATCTAGTCGCTGAATCCTATTCAAACATTGGATTATTGATCTTTGTTTGTTCATCACGTATTTCGACCGGTATTCTCAGAGTCGATCCAACACTCGTGTCACTTCAGTGGTGTAAGTTTCGTTATGGTTTCAATCAACTCTTTGGTTTATGTTCATTGTTCACAATATGTTTCACAACAATCGATCAGTATTTCTCCACTCATCATCGTTATGCCATTCGTCAACTGAGCACAATGAAATGTGCATATTTATTTCTCATCATAGCTTTACTCCTTTCGTCATCTCATGGAATTTTGTTCTACATTTATGCTGACATTCAGTCGTTGCCTTTCGGATGTTCAATTTATAACGTAATGATGAAGAAGTACTTGTCTTTTTTCTACTTTCCAGTGTTGAGTAATGCTTTACCAATTCTCATCACAATGACATTTAGTTTGTTGTCTTATCGGAATGTTCGTCGAATAGTTCGAAGACAAGTTCCCATTCGACGACGACGATTAGATCAACAATTGACATCTATGATTCTGATTCGAGTTGTATCATTAATTTTCTTTGGTTTACCTTATATCATTATCTCATTGTATCAATTAAACGTTTCTAACAATGACAATAATCTTAAATCAACGATTGCAGTTTTTCTTGGTGCATTATTCTATTCATTGTTATACACCAACTTCTCAGTAAGGTGATTTTCTTGTTTTTTACTTTCACATTTGTGTTTGTTTAGATAAACTTTTATTTATTTTTACTGATTTCATCTCGATTTCGTTGTCAAGTGAAGCATTTTATTCGAAAACTGTTCCATCATTGTTGCCATCTACGATCTTCATCAAGACATATCAAATTCAAAAATAATCAAATTACACCAGAAACATTTGTAAAAAATATTTCAACTGTAGAATCAATTTGAGAAACTCGTAAGAAATGTTCAATAAAAAAAACCATTGTTTATGTCATGAAATCTATGCGGAAGACTTGAAAAGTGGTACTTTTACACTAACTAAATGATTAAAGGATTTAATCCGGATCTGTATTCTATTGACACATGACGCTCTTATGACTGAAAACCTATACACCGTGAGAAGCTTAAATTAGCGTCCAATTAAAAGAAAGAAGCATTATTCTGATGTTGTGAATTAAGTTTATGCTAATATATGTGATATATTTACGTCAACACTTTCACTGACGTATAATCATACTTATTGAAAGAACTTCTTCAGTTTCCAGAGTAAATAGGTTTTAGTGTTCTTTTAAACTAAATGAAATCCATACGATTCGTTTAATCGGTAGCTTGAAATACAATGACGGTAGTCTTTTCTATGAAGATATAGTATTTTCTGTTGTGTCGAAGATCATATTTTTTTAATCTGCCATTCATCGTTAAATTTATAAAAGAAAAAAGATTCTAATCAGTTTCAAAAATATTTTCGAAAACTTTAACTTAATATGCATGTTCATAACATAACCGTTGTTAGTGAATTATCAAATATACAGGAAAGAATCGTTTTCAATCGTTAATTTCATTATATGTGGAAATCCTATTTCACTGCTTACGTTACATGAGTCAGAGTAGAACGACCGAACTGGCAAGAAAAGGTTCATTTTCTTTTGTTTGTTCTTCACTTTGTAGGTAATGAACTCGATAGATGTGCTGCGATGGCCGAGTGGTTAAGGCGTCTGACTAGAATCATAAAAATGACTGATAGTGATCAGATGGGTTCTCCCGCGTAGGTTCGAATCCTACTCGCAGCGTTTCTCTTTTTTTTTCGTTCATTGAGAAACGACGTATAGACGTAAAGTACTTCTTTGACTATAGAATCGAACGAATTGATTGATTCATATTCGAGATTGATGAAACATCCATTTCAACTTTTCTTTCCGTTAAAATAATCGTCAAGTTTCTCTCGGACATTTCTTGGGTATAACTGTGAATTAAAATGAGTTTGATTGTTTAACAGGCAACAGTTTTAGTTTTAATCGGTCACAGCCATCACAATCACAAGAATTTTTCGCTTACCGTCAACGTTAACGATGTGATATTTCGTTGCATCTTGGTCTAAAGATTCTGAAACGGGCAAATTCCTCTAGAAACTTAGCTTAAATCAACGTATAACTATCGCATCAGGAAACATTGTTCAGAGCTATTTGTACGAACTGTCTATGCTTTCATTTAGAACTTAATTGCTTAAGTCGTTTTCACATTCTCAATGATGAAAATACCATCATATCTTGAACCCTGGCATTGTTTTCGCATGCTGTTTATGTAAGTTTTGCAAGGATATCAAGATTTATCCCAGAAGGGTACTTGAAAAAATTCTCTTATTACTTTTACATTTGTGTTTGTTTAGGTAAACTTTTATTTAGTTTTACTGATTTCATCTCGATTTCGCTGTCAAGTGAAGAATTTGATTCGAAAACTGTTTCATTATTTCTGTTGTCCAGTCTGTTTATCGAAACGCACGAAATCAAATACGAATCAAGTAATGCTACAAATACAACCCGAAACTATTTGAATTGTTCAAAGGTTGACTTGTTCTATCTTCAGAAAATGTTTCAATAACGAAAAACTCGACATCTCTCTTTCTACGATCCGAATAAAGTTCAAAGAAAAGCAATTAGTTTTCCTTTTAAAATTTTTTCATCAATTATCGAGTAGAACAAACGAAAAATAATTTGACAAAAGTAATAATCTGAAATAAGTGACTTTTCTTTATCCTGACAGATTTAATTCTTGTAAAGTATATCCAACATTTGTCTCACTACTGGTTTGTGATGTTTTGTTATCATCGAACTCTTATGAACAAATATTTAAATATTGCTTTCAAAAACATACTTTCGTTGTTATTTGGAATGAAGACAGTGTTTACAAATACTTTCCTTCTATGCTTCAAACTTTTTCCTTATATCAACCCACGTGTGGATATACGAGCATATAGAAACGAATGAATTATTGGTTTTCTTTTGTTTGTTCTTCACTTTGTAGGTAATGAACTCGATAGATGTGCTGCGATGGCCGAGTGGTTAAGGCGTCTGACTAGAATCATGAAAATGACTGTTAGTGATCAGATGGGTTCTCCCGCGTAGGTTCGAATCCTACTCGCAGCGTTTCTCTTTTTTTT